AGTGTAAAATCTCACTTTTGGGTAACGGCACAAACACTAAGAAACGACAGAGAACATGTCATTATTACAAAGCTGTAGCTTCTGTTTTGCACATTTATTGATGATGATTTCACATAACTAAGCAGTGTACTGTACTCTCATCAGTTATTTGGGCTCTTATAATATTTAAGAAAGAGCACAGAGAGGTGGTACGGGTACAGGAAGGACGACGGAGCAAACAGTGAAGTTAGCTGAAAAACAAACGTAATTGTTCGTGTATTTCAAGGATCTGTGCTTTCTAGTAGCACACTTAAAAAATGCCAGTGCACATTCTAAACAGGAAATATTGATATGAATGGTAACATTTCACAGGATGGCTGCTACACTGATGTGACGGACTACAAGTCTACTCTCCACTCATGAAATTGGGGTACACAGTGCTCTGTGCTGAGACTGCATAAAAAGGGAGGGCTGTATTTTATTACAAAACAGCTCTATTACCAATTTGCTTTGTGTGCAGGTCTTTGAAATGAATAATGCTGCTTTTGGTGGACTGGGATGGTCCATATGTCAAATATCAGTGATGTAATATTTAGTTAGCATGGTTTCAAATTGAACACAATAGCTATCTGCAAGTTCAACACCTAAATAAAGCTCATCATACTGATTGTTTGACCTCAGTGTTCAAGCAGATCTTAGCAGAACCAAATAGAAAGAGCAAAGAGCAGATTGAGAGATGGAGAAAAAAAGAGAAAAATATTTGAGCGCTTAAATAAAATTAGCAGCTTTAAAGAGCCTGAGGGCAAAATGGAGTTGTGTCCCTCGTGGCTATGCTTTGAAGAAGGGGAGAATGAATTAAGCTTGACTTGCTCCTCTCCCTCCTCCTCCTCTTCTTTGCTCTCACTTTTAACTCCCTCACTTTTCTTCTGGTTTGCACTAATATGTAGGGTGACATGGAGGGAGAGGGAGGGGGTTGAGGAGATGAACGAGGGGTATAAAAGCAAATGATGAAGGTAAGGGCAGGCTGGAGCACTTCATTGCTGAACAGCTTTTTGGATTCTCTTACACATGTTGTTCTTAAGTTTCACAAATACTTGATTTGTTCCCTTCCTATTTAAGTTCTCTTTTTCCTCCCTCTTATCCTTCTCCGTACAGTTTTTCCCTCATACGTTCTGAGTATCTGAAATTGGGCCCCAGTTGTTGGTGCTTCTACACACAGGACCGGAGCATGAACCCCGGGGCTTTCTCCAGCTCTGGGCCTCTGTCTTGGGCTATGTATCTGATGAGGAAAGGCCGGACAGGCAGCGGACTCTTTGGTAAAGCTGATTCTTCTTCATGTTTGACGTCACCTCGATCACTATCATATCTGCTCTGTTCGTGATTATGTTGTTTTTGTTCTTAACTATTTGTTCTGTTGGGGCTCCTTATTGGGAGGTTTTGCATGACCTAAATCCTCACAGTACAAACAGTTAAACTGAACTGTGCTGCCCATCATCAGATGGCTCTTACCTGTTCCATTTTCTTGTCTAATTCTGTTTCTTGGATTTCTACAAGCATTTGTAGATGGAGTTTCAAGGCTTTTTGAAATTCTGCTGGGTGCTTCAGTTGGTTCTGGCTAAAGGCTACCAAAGTTTGCATTGTCTCAGATCTGCAGCCGTGCCTGTTTATTGATATAAATCATCTAACTTTAAAAGAGAAATAAACAAAAAAAAACATCAAACGTGTGAGAAGCACAGCTGACTCTGACTGCAGATATCGATCAGTGTCAATCACTACCCTGGACAGGACATATCTCTTTAGTAAACTTGTCCTCCTGCTATTTTAGAGAAGCAGCTTCTGGTTTTCACAATGAAATTTTTATGTCTAATAAATAATTAGAAAAGGAAAACAGTTGCATGCACACTACTGATCCACACTGTATTTCTATGAAAGATATCAAGCAATGTTAGTATCAATAACGTTGATAGGACACTGTGGCTGAGTATTGATTATAGATCAGAGGGCAGTAAGCAGCTCACATTACAAGATAGTCAGCGGTAAATGCTGGCTTCGTGAAATCCAACTCCACTGCCACTGTCATCACTCTTTCTTTCTTTCTTTCTTCATCTGTTGTTTTATTTGACTTCTCAGATGTCTACAGAGGACTTTCATTGAAATAGTGTTTAGCAGGCTGCTCTTTGTTTTTTCTTTTATTGTGATGAGCACCAGAACTCTATTTCTGTCTTCAGAGATATACTGTTTCAAACAATCCTTCAGTATTTGGAATATTTAGCAGTTTAAGATAAGATAAGATAAGATAAGATAAGATAAGATAAGATAAGATAAGATAAGATAAGATAAGATAAGATAAGATAAGATAAGATAAGATAAG